CCCCAAAACCCCAAAACCCCAAAACCCCAAGATTAAAAGATAAATGTACATGAATGTTGTGATTAATTAGTAAATTTGAGTATAATATATTACTAAAAATGACTACAATTAAGTCTTCAGACATATAGTTTGCTGATAATCGGATACAAGATAATCGATACAGAAAGGCCCAAGTAGTAAACAAAAGTCCTTTATAGAGATAAGAAAATCAAATTTCTGATATTTCCTCTCCTCATTAACATAATTTCTAACAGCGATCCCAAAGACCATTGATAGGAACTAGAAATAGATCAGTGGTGAAATCAAATATGTAAACTAGTTAAAATGATGCAACATAATAATTAAAACAAAGTCAGCTCAAAATATCTACAGAAAATGTACAATTTTAACCTGAATTATAGCCATGATTCAATGTGATGACTACAATGACAGCAAGCAGGGCATCATCTCCAGCAAAAAAGTATAACTTTAAAGCAAAGAGATTATCGGACAATTAATTACAATAAACATCTCAAATCACTGTTCCACGAATTAGTCTTAGACAGCTGTAATAATTCATGTTAAATCCTCACTCTCAAGCAAGTCGAGTTAGTCCAATGCATTCTCAAAAATCTAGCATAAATGGATGAAGGTCAAACAACTTTCATTCACCAGTTGAAAATCGGCATGAAGACAGTAGATATATTTATGAGAAATAAAAAAATAAATATTATAAAGGACCTCCACCAAATCCCAATTAATCATTTCAAAGACTGAATCAGGATTCTCTATATCAGCCATCTCTTGAACCATTGCCATCTTTTCAATCAATTTAACCTCAGCCAGCTGAGAGAAGGAACAGTAGATTGCAAAATGATTACATAATAAATAATGGCCGCTAAATAGAACAGTAAAGATAGATAAGCAGGTAGAGTATGAATTAAACATTATAAATGCAATCGTATCTTTAGACAGGAATTTCATAAATGGGAGTGCTATCTCCTCACTAAATTGTTTCTTCATCAAATATAGATGCTAATGTAAGATTTATTTCTTAATTTTTTAGCTAATACGTAGCACTAATGAGGAATCTAAAGATTCTCAAGAGTATTTGAATTAATACGATTAGAATTAATCAATAATAACTTGATCAATACAAAACGATAAAAATAATATTTCGTTTGAGCATTCCATTTTAAGTTAAAATTTCTAAAACTAATTGAATAATCAAGACAACTACCATAGTATAAAGGTATGTACATAATTCCCTCTCTTAATTACCTTAATGTAGGTCAATCAAAACATCTAAATATCAAAGCCACCTCAGAGTTTCGGATCATTCCTTAGTGTGTAACAAGCTACTATTCAATAGTAAAATGTGGATAGGTCACCAGAAAATAGGAATTTAAATTTCAATTGCAAGGCTGCCTAAATTCAGACTGATTTAATCTTAATAGGGGATGAAATATCTATCAATCAAATCAATTTTGCTGATGTCAATAGCAGTGTTCGTTACATCCTCTAGCTTTAGACCGAAAATGATAGGTTAAAACATCAGCTACAACAAACAATTATCAATTCAGAAAGTTTGAAATTGGAAAAAGAAAAAATCGAACTAGAGAAAGAGCAGTATAGGTAGAAATACAAAAGAGTCAAAAAATCAGTGATTACCTACGAAGATAGGGCAAAATAATATTAATAGTTATATGATTAACTCAAGAAGCAAAAAAATCCAATTGAATCAAGAGATAGAGCATATTCACCAGCTGACAGTAGTGTAGGATAGGCAGTCAATATTTACTTAAAAGATATGACTCTGAAATCTGGGCAATACAATCCTTGCGAGGCAGATTCAATTAATGAGTCACATAAGATAGATAAGAGTATGAGTATTAAAACTCGAGTAAATGAGAATTCGCCGAACAATCAATCTTAGTTCTAGTCGATGAATGAAAAGAATAGATAGATTAGATCTAAGACAATGCAAGGGTTAAAGCCACTCCCTCAAAATTATAAGAATCAATTATCAATCCCTGATCATAATTTAAAAAACATGGGAGTCATCGGAGATTCAAAGAAATAGCTCACATAAATTAGCTCATTTTTAACTATGTAATATATAATCTTGCCTTAAAATTATAGTGATAATTAATCCAAAGTACACTCTTAGCATGAAAATGATAAACTAATAAACAATGATATCTCTTTAAATAATCAAAATGAAAAATTTTTCTAACGTACAAACAATAAGGAAGGACTTATCCAAGTTGAAATAGACAAGTTAAGTGAATCATCTTAAAGGGCTACATCAGTTCACAAGCAAAAATCTGTACAAGTTTTAAAAGTAAGGACATTTAAAAGACTAACACTATTAGTCTCATAATTTGGAAATGCCAAATATGGATAGAATTGACAGATAAGCATCTAATAAAGGACAATTTTAGAAGCTTTTGAATAGCAATACCCTAAGCAATCTCTCTCGAGGATAGACAATTTCTAAGCAAGACACATCTAACATAAGAGATAGACTAATGAGTGAGTCGTAAGGTGGCTCAAGAGGAAGATTTTCTAGCGAGGATGATTAGCAAGTGGCTTATACTCTTCTAATTAAAATAATTTAGAGCATGTTAAATAAAGAATGTAACACAAGAGAGCTATTCCAAGAAAAACTTTATGACTACGACACTAAGACTGCAAGCACAAAAGGAAGTGAATATATTTTGATCGATGATTTTTTCATCATCATAACTCAGAAGTTTTTTAGCATAGCAAACGATGAGAAAGATAGATTTAAGAAAGTTTTCGCAGAAATATATTAAGGTTAATACACAATTTTAGACTACAATGACTTGGAGTAAAATTTGTTTTGTCTTGAATCTGGTACATCTTATACTTATATGCAAGGGAAAATTAATCTAAAAATGCTGGATAACAAAGTATATAGAGTATTCAATCGAATGAATAAGTACATCAAAGAGCATTATAATGGAGAATATGAAGATATGATCAATGAATTAAATCCAAAGATATCGTAGATTACAAGGAAAATGAAAGTAATTAGAGCAATTGACTAGGAAATTTTTATGAAATTTCTAAGAGAAAAAGGAATAAGAAAGTCAGCTTCAATCATGATAAATTTTGAAGATCTATTTAAAATAAGAAAGCGAAAGCCTATTTTGATTAACATTGACAAACTTAAGAATTGTCTTGAGATGTGCAAGATAAGCAAATTCGTACAATTACTTAATACTAAAAAGAGACATCCACCTAAAAATCATAATCTTTAAGCAATGTACTAACTTAATGGAGTTATTTAAGAAGAAGGAGAGGATGTGAAGACTAATTCTTTCACTTCTGACAGATCACTCGAAAATCAATAATGAATGAAAAATCAAAATGTTATTTAGCAATTCTAACTTCATTTAAGATTTATTTTAAAAGATATAATTTTGTAATACTTTTTTTAAGTCTTAATAAATTATAAAATAAGCATAAATCAATAATAATACTTATATTTATCACATAAAACAATCAGGCTTGAGTAGATTTTAAAAATATTTCATCTATTCTTTGCCAATAATTTTTTTCCTCTTAATGTTAGAATTCATCTCTCTTGATCATACTGATAATAGCCTTTACAAAATTATAACGATTTTAGAAACATACATAATCTATTGCATTACCGTTTTCATATTTTTGCATAATTTCTTAATGCAATTTTGGATATGAAATTTTTGTACCAATTGCAACTCTTCTCTTTATTGCCTCCTCAATCTTTCTAACCATTGGCATCATTTCAATTGGAGTTTCACTGTCTTTGCAGCCATACCACTTTGAGCTGCATTCAAAGTTGAGATCTTAAATAATCTATGAGCTTCTTCAACTTGTTATAACTAAACTACTGTTTGTAACTGAATTCTAGCAATTGATTCAGATAGACGAATGATAGCTTCCAGCTATCTTACTGTTATTGGAATTCCACTGCTCTTTTTTGAATTTTTTTATCTTTAGATTACATTTTGTCTGACACATAAAAATCCTGTACCATATGTCCAGCTTCTTCTGAAAGTCTTGGGAATACCTTCTTTTTAGCATATATTATATATTTTCTTAGTAATTCTAGGCTGATATCTGATCCATTGTCATCATTTTAATTATTTTTTTCAAAAAGTATGAAGATTAACAACATAAGATGCAATAGCTTTATCAGCTCCCTCTTTTCTAATATCCCTAACAATGAAAAATACAGTCAAATCTAGACAAATTTAAACTCTCCAAATCAATTTGTTCTGCAGTATGCTTCAAATCATATATTCCAAATACTAGGTTTGCTGCAGCTAGAACAGAAGTTCTTGAATTCAAGATTGTAGTGATTCCAGCATTAGCAATACTGATACTTTATTGCTCCATAGCCTCATGAATAGCTACACTGTCTTGAGGCCTCATTTTATCGAACTCATCAATGCATACAACACCACCACCAGCAAGAACCATTGCACCACCTTCTAGTTAAAATTCTCAATTAGCATCCTTTAGGACTAATGCTGTTAGACCCACAGCTGATGAACCTTTACCACTTGTATAAACTGAGATAAGGGCAACTCTCTCAACAAACTTTAAGAATTGAGACTTAGCAGTTTAATGATGACCTAAAAATAGTACATTGATATCTCCTCTCAGTCTCATTCAATCTGGTAGTCTCTTTGGAGAACCTCCAAATAAAAGAAAAACGACAGCTTTCTTAATATCCTTATGTCCAAAAATAGCAGATGCAATACTCCTTGAAATGTTTCAAAGATTTCAGGATCTACAGACATATTAGTAATCTTTTCCTCTCCATCTAGGGAAATGTTTGGTAAAGCGTATCCAGTTGTATTTACTCCATCCTTATTCACTTCAGACATAATTCCAAGAACTCTCAAATAACTTATTTGTACATGATTCTTTATTTGTTTGTTTACATTTGATCCAGCCCCTTTATTAAGTATGCTAAGAATTCTAACAATCTTTACTCTATTTCCTTGAATTACCTTATATGCTAAATATCTGTCACAAGGGGTTTTGGGGTTTTGGGGGATCGGAAGAGCGTCGTGTAGGG